TATATCTATCGAAATTTATGTTGAATGACAAATTTAGGATCAGTGAAAAACACAGGGAACGGACAGAACATAAACATACATGGCCAAAGTTTTCTTCCAGTTGATTGAAAACATCGAGCCGCAGGGCACTCAGCAAGCGTTCCAGAATCCGTACCAAATCTTCGAACGCAGTTTCAGTGAGTCTGGCTTTCAACAGCTCAAACCGTTCAAGCAGAAGTTTGGTCGTGTAGGATAATTGATCAGGACTCAGGAAATTCTCGGCCAGGGAGGATAGCACTTCTGAAGTTAATTGTGGTATAGAGTCCACGAACTGTGGGTCCACTTGTGTGGGTTGACTAGCCTCTGCTACTGAATTCTGTTTCGATATGGCAGACTTCAGTATGGTGTTCAAACCGCTTTTTCCAGATCTTTTGATTCGGGTCGAAGAAATGGGCACGATTCTGTCCACCGAGGTACCACATATTAGGTCAAAGAGCAGCGGTAGGATCTGAGTATTTATCATTAAAAGCGTCACAAAACTCACTTCGGTTGCTATTGAATGGTACTTCCCATCCACACCGCGCAACACTTCCTGAAGCAATATGCTCATAAGCTGAGGTATAAAAAACGCGCAGAAAAGCCAACCTTGACATCTCCCACAGCCTGCCAAACGGTCAGGAGCATCGCGCGTCTATCTGGGACTTTCCTCATTATAAAAGCCAAACATTCAGCAGCAAAGCGAGGAATATATCTCGTCTGGTTTGATAACAACGGCAAAAACAACCTACGGATGAAGCAGGATAGCAAAACGTACATGGTACTTACTGTAAGGTACTTCCCATATCTCGAAGCATCTGCCGGTGCAGAAAATAGATCAAATGAGCTAGGCATTTGAAGCACTGTTCAAGAATATCCATGTTCTGATAATTTTGAAATATGATGCGGAAAATCTGAGAGAGGAATTCTTCTATGTCTTCGAAGAAGTCATGTCGCAAATCACAAGATAACGCTGCAACAAGGCTAGATACAGACGATAAATCGAAGTTGGAAAGATTACTCAAGTATCGGGGACAGCGAATCATGATTTGCACGTTCCAAAACGGACTTTAGCTCTGATACGATTTGTTTCTAGAGACAAGGGTGAATTAACTTGCGACAGCTTACCCGATGGAGTAATATCAACTTCACACTCAAAACATATGGTGCTATGCGTTTTCTGAAGGAAGCTGTACGAAATAAAGAAACAGCGACAACGTACTAAAAAGCTCTCCGGCATTCAAGTGGTTCCACTTCTCCAAAGTGAGACTGAAATAGCTGTCCAACTCGGCCTGTAAGATTGTCACTGAAGGACAGAAAAGTCAAACTCACGTCATCATCAGCATAATCAACACTTTTAAAAGTGACTAGGAGGTTTTTCTTGATAGCCTCCTTGTAGCTGGAAAACTAAAGCAAAATAGGAGGAGAAAAGACACGTACTCGAAAGGTGTTGCCAGGCATTAGCAACTGTGAGACAGAGCGGGCTTCAAAAAGCTGAAAAGAGAAGCAATGTACGCAGTAAATTAATCTTAGTGCAACGTTCCCTTTAAACACAAATATCCTCTCGAGCGAACGAATTTTTTAGAGCTCAAGGTATTAACCCTGGAATTTCTAAAGATGTACTTCAGCGGTTGAGCTCATCTAGAATGCAAGCCAATCGGGTGTGCCGACTGTGTAACAGCACCCTGGGAAGAGTGGTGATATCACGGAAATCACTGTAAACCACCTCTGTGGTTATCGTGAGTGGGCTCTGAGGGGCAACCTAATAGCTGTAAAAAGTATCGTTTACCGCGGTTCAGGAGGTTAGCAACACGTATGTTGTGCTCGTTGAATGGGGTAGTGTAACCAAAATACTGCAATGAATTCAAATTCCTCATCTTTAATAGGACTCCACACTGTCATTCCGATCTCGCGATGTCGACCGACTGTCCGATGAATCTTACGTAACAGAAGACCCGATCGAGGACGACTATTAAACCAGTGACTCCGCCAAGTAGGCTATCAGCATACTCAAGCTCCATAATCCACATATCCAGTGTTTAACCGAACATAAGGGTATCCCCAATTGTCTGTCGGACCATTCGTTAAGTTGCGGAGTCGAGTCACACAAACTATAAGGGGTATCCATTGTTTGAGACCGGAGGCAAGACCATAAGCTTGGGATCGACATTTCGTTGTCGAGTCGAGGCATTTTGGTAGGCATGGTATTACCGACCAGGCTAGTCCACAGAGTCTCGACGCAGGCAGAGCCAAACGAAGCGCGGAAGAAGCAGGCAGTGGTTTGCAGATTAAAACTCAGCTTGACATTTCTGAACCCAGCACGGGGTGAAAATCTGGTGGACGCGATTTCTCCTGCTGCAAAAACCAACCTGGTTGTACCGTGTTCGAACTTCTCTTGGTAGGATGCATTTAAGCGCTCTTGAAGAAAATGTCAGGGGTGACATCTATGAGGGCGACGTCCCTAAAACTTTTGCACATCATTGTATAATCTTCCCGAAAGAGGACTATGGACACCTCAGGTACTTGGGTACACTGGGCGTTCCAGACGAAAGAAACATTGTTCATTCGTAATGCACTACCCATTAGGTTGCTGAAAATTTGTCGGCAGCCCACGACCGGTTTCGCCCTTCTCGTGGCTCATTAGGTAGGCGCAGTCCCCGAGTTTCTGTCAGCCTTATGTTCTACTTGAAACCGAATTGCACGAATTTAGCGAAGTACACTCATTTGCAAACTAATTTAGTTTTTCGAGAGACTCATCTGAAACCCAGCTGAATCCCTTGTCTGTGATGTATCCAGTCAACTGAATGTGCTGCACCAGGCCACCTCATGTTTCAGTCGCTACGCTATTCGAGATATCGCGATACATGTATATTCGTAACGCACTACTCATGAGGTTGCTGAGAATTCGTCGACAGCCCACGACCGATTTCGCCCTCCTTGGGGCTCATCAGGTAGGCGCAGTCCCCGAGTTCCCGTCAACCTTATGTTCTACGTCGCACGAGAGATTCAGCCGGGTTCCAGGTGAGTCTCTCGAAAAACCAAATTAGTTTGCAAACGAGTGTATTTCGTTAGAAACGCTCTTCAGTTCGTTTTGGGACTTATAGTCAGAACTGCTCATGTACACCAAGAAGGATGGTTAACTCTTTATTCCACCATCGAAGACAGCAACACCAGTGTTGGCATAGACACTTCGCTAACGTACAAACTCAAAATTGGAGGGAAGGACCAATAGGTGGTGAAATCTATAGGCACGGTGAATTCTGTAGAAGATTATGGAAGTTTGAATAGATGGGCGCTAACCTCAGTCTGAGAAATAAGATTATAAGATGTTAGAAATAACTGACCGCTGAACAGGGGAGCAATTTTGAAGAAAATGAAGAAGGGGAGCTTTGCATGTTTAATAAAAACTGATATGGGCGATTAGAGCAGCGCACACACGTCCACTAGTTGGATGACTGTAAAAAAAATCGTTCAGTTGTAACACCCTTCCGGTGCTTAGCTGTTGTGCCACCCGAAGGAAGCACGAGGGCTGAGATACTGTGGACGACTATGGGAGTCGGACGGAAGAAGCGAATGCCACGACAACGGATAAAAGGAAAAGGCATGCACCTACATGTTAGACTGAGGCGGAAGTTGAAGTTGAAGTGACGGAATCAGAGGCAAAAAGTCCGGGTGATATTTCGGCGACCATTTGGAGGAGCTAGTTAAAAGAACCCTGACCAAAACCTGCCACATTCTTCCTGTAATCAGATTTCAGTGATGTAACAAACTCGCGGGCTACACAAACAGAAACTTCGTTCCGCAAGGTTCAACAATGTCAAGAGGGCCAAAATGAAGCAACCAGACTAACAGCAGTGAGACCCCATACCACGAGTAATCGTAGTATCAGGTGGTGTCGTAGTCATAACAACACCAATGCTGCCTTCCACTGAAGGACGGGCTCGGAAAACTTCACAAAAAGGGCACTAAAAACCGCACAGGTCGATCGCCCACAGGGTGACTGTGTCGATGAATCATTCAACACGGTTAAAATACTGTGAAAACTATGGAATTTGTCGATGCTCCGAAGGTATCTGCTGTGAGTAGTCTCAATAAGTTAGACAATCGCCTTACATCCAGTGTCCTCTGGCTAGAAAAAGCCTTCCAGAGCCAAGTGGATTAAACTGTTGAGTTCCCAAGCAGACCCTAAAACATGTTCCTTCGCGAGTCAGAGGCTTCTGGCAGGACCCGCAATTAAATCCTATTTTCCTCCAATCACCTCATTAGCCGGACGCTTGGTCAAAGGTTCAAATAACCCCCTTTTTCGACCTGGGTAACCACATAGCAAAATCTACCTGCGCACCAGGTTGTTTCTTAATTTAGCAGCTCCAAATATAATTGATATCAAGGCGAATTAAACCCCGCCTGGTTGTAGTTCTCATGATCATAGGCGGTCAAACAGACGGTTGTTGATCTGTTCGCCGAGCTCGGTAATTGGCTTGCTCTCAAAACATTAACATCATCATTACCACAAGTAACAGCAGCATAACATCATCGTTCAATGATGATGTTTCGTTGCCGTAAAATCATGATTTATTTCAGAGTTATAGAGAAGAAAAGAAGAAACGTGGGCCGGAAAGGGACTTAGCGCTAGCCCACCAGTCATGTCAAGGTGCCTACACCTCCAGACACTCATTCAGGCAATCTGGATAGAAACTGATAACAATGCGATTGACATCGATTAGCAGCCATGTCTTACAGCGTCTCTGATCAGACGCGGTGGGAATCAGGTGCACCCCATCCTGGAGGGCGGGCTGCACCAAAAGCGCGTAGACTTTTCGTGATCGATTCCATCTTCATCTGCCAGTTCAGTGGTTGCCTACCCCTCTGCTTCCGCCACTCTGAACTGGGCACGAAAAACAGCACTCTCTTCGGCAAACAATGGTCTGACATGCATAATACATGACCAAACCACCACAGCTTTTGGCGCTGGAGACATTCCTCGATGGGATTCTCCGTTGCACAACCGACTTCTTGTTTCCCAATGGCCTCGTTACGGATTCGCCCATACCAGCGTACACAAGCTATGGTTCTGAGACACCGGTTGCAGAAGACCTGAAGATGTTTCAGTTCCACTGCTCTAAGACGCCATGTCTCGTACAAAATAGCTCGTGCTGCAGCCTGATGGACACGTCCATTGAGACTCAGGGACATACCGCCTTGCCACCATAGGTGTCTCAGATCAGCAAACGTGGCCCGAGCCTTAAGGATTCGTGCATTGACATCATCTGTCACACTGCGATCGGAACTGATACAACTTCCAAGTTACGTAAAACGCTCAACAACTCCAAGTGCCTCTCCTTGGATTGCGAGTGGCGTGTTCAACGAATGCATGTCCAAGAGCATGACATTATGACCTGTGGGTCCAAAGTGCATACTAAAAGAGGGGATGACTTTGATCATTTCATCCAGAAGCACTTGCGCCTTCCCCTCTTCAGGAACGAGCACGGTCCCTTCTGCATAATCATCATCATGATCATCAACGACAGCATGACATCAGTGCTCAACACCAATGCTTCACTGCCGTACAACCAT